TATAGAGCAATAATGGCTCACGCCAACTTTTAAATCCCGATCCTTCCCCACGCTTCCGCCCCGTCCCCTTCCGACGTGCACCTCATTGCCGTCCCCTCCATCGCCGCTGCTAGACTCCTAGCCGCCGCCTCTCAACTAGTTTTCTGTTGGGTGGATTTTCAAAAACCCCCAATGCGCCAAACGCCATAGCTCGCTCGATAGTTGACAGAATTGAGTGATTCGACTTGCAAAAGAACGCTCTTGGTGTCAGCTACAACTTCGTAAAATTTCGGACTGTTTCATCGCTTGGATTGTCAGATATCGCTTTCCGAAGTTTGCACACTTTCCTGGATGTGATCACGAAGTGCTACTGAAATTTCTTCCAAGTCCTATTTTCATCAGCTAACTGCCATCGTTCCCCATCTTTTGCCTCCTCACCTGCACCTGCTCATTGCCGCCTTACCACTGCTGCAGCCATAGCAGCAGCAGCAGAAGCAGCAGCAGCACCAGAAGGAGCAGCAGACTCAGCAGCAGCAGCAGCAGCAGTAGCAGCAGCAGCAGCAGCAGCAGCTGAAGGAGCAGCAGCAGCAGCAGCAGCAACAGCGGCAGCAGCAGCAGTGGCAGCAGCAGCAGCGGCAGCAGCAGCCACAGCAACAGCAGCAGCAGCAGCAGCAGAAGGAGCAGCAGCAGCAGCAGCAGCAGCAGTATCTACAGCCATCCCCATCCTCCCCTCCTCTTTGAGCCGCCGCGGGTCCACCCGCTGCCGCTCCCTCCCGGCCACCGCGGGTCCACCCGCCGTCGCCTTCCTCCCACTCCGTGTCACCAATGGCATCCTTTCCCCCTCCCGTCGACGTCTCGACCCTCGATCATCTCGTGCGCGCTGCCGACAACTCAGCAACCAACTGGTATTCCTTCGTCGGCAGCCTCCACCGCGTCCTCGGCAGTGCTTATGTCCTGCCGTTCCGCCTCCTGGACATCATGCTTGGTCTCCCAGAGGGTGACCTTGGGGACCCGCCGCCTCACCCTGGCGATCCCCCCCCTCTCATTCCCCATCCCGGCGAGGAACCTCCGCCCCCCATGGTACCCGTTGGCACCAGCACTCGCGCTGCCACCGCTGAAGTTGAGCAGCTCTTCCTTACTCAGCGTCGTGAGTTCCTCGTGCTCCATACTGATTACCTGATCGCGTTGGAGGAACACGAGCGGTCGGCAACCCTCCGCACCCAGCATGCCGCTACCGCCGCCGCTTATGCCGCTGACTCTGCGCGATTTGCTGAGCGTCGTCGCGCCTGGCTCGAGGCGGACAGCCGTGCTACTGGTGCCCTTCTCCTTGCCATCCCGCCTGCGCTCATGCGCAACTTCCAGGCACGTCGCATCGGCTCCCGCCAGATCTGGCTCGAGCTTGAGGCAATGTTCGAACGCACCGACTTCGATGCTGTCGGACCGCTCTTCAAGGAATACTTCAGCATCACGATCGAACATAGTGCTGGCGCCGTTGACTATACCAGCCGTCTCCTGGACCTTGCCTCCCGCCTTGAGGCTCGCCAGACTACTCTCCCCCCCAACCTTCAGATCTACCGTCTCCTCGAAGGCCTCTCCCCTCAATATGAAGTGCGCGTCATCGCCTTCACTGAGGCTCAGCCCCGCGCCTCCCTTGACACTGTGGTCCAATGGATCATTGACGCTGAGGCCCGCCTTCTCTCAACCCCCCCCTCCAGCCTGAACTCCACCGAGTCCCAAAACCCCCAGCTTGCAGTCACACAGCCGCGTCGTGGCGGGCGCCCACGTGGCGGCCGCACCAACCCTCAGGGAGGGGGTGGAGGTGGCGGTTGTGGGGGCAGCGGAGCCGGCGGCGGTGGTGGCGGGGTCGAGGGTGGCAGCAGTGGTGGTGGTGGAGGCAGTGGTGGCTCATCTGGTAGCCGTGGTGGCCGCCCTGGCACTCTCCCCCCATGTTCCTATCTTCGTCGTTTTGGTCCCAGGGCGGGTGAGCGCTGCACCCAAACCAACCATCCCCCCGCGACCTGCTTCAAGGCGTATGATGACGCCTGGTTCGAGCGCGGCAACACTGGCACACCCCCACGCTGGTCTGCCATGGATCCCCGCCCCTCTCTCCAGGATGTCAAAACTCTTCCGTCTTTCCTTCCCTCTCATCTTCAGCTCTCCTCCTCCTCCTCCTCTGTCGCTGACCCCATAACTCCCCAGGAGCTGCAGCAGTTTCGCCGCTTCCAGCAGCTGCAGCTGCTGCAGCAGCAGCAGCAGTGGGGCTCTGGTGGTCAGGCTGCAGCCGCAGCTGCAGGAGCCGCAGCCGCAGCATCTGCATGGCAGCAGCAGCAGCTTGGCTTTGGCACCGCCGCCATGGCTGCCACAGCCACACCAGGTCCTCCTGGCTTTCCCCTCTGGGGCTCTCCTTCCCCTAGTGCTCCCGCCTCCCACTCCAGCTTTCTAGGCGAGCTCATGCGTTCTTCCCCTGCTTCCACTTCCATGTATCCCTCTGTTTTTAATGCCAGTGATTTCCAGTACCCCGTGTCTTCAGCTCCCTCCTCGCTCACGATTGACTTTGTTCTCGATAGTGGTGCCACTGAAACTGCCCTCAAAGATGCCGGCACCCTCACCTCCCTCCCTTTCCCCACCAACGTTCATGGCGCTGATTCCAGCTTCTCCATCCCTTGCACTCATCTCTCCACCCTCCCCTGCCCCCCCTTCCCCTCTGGAGTGGTCACTGGTCTCCACATTCCCTCCCTTCGTCATAACCTGCTCTCCATTCGTGAACTCCAACAGGCTGGCATCACTACCCTCTTCCCCGCCTCTGCCACCTACTGTGACCTCCTCCACGGCCCCACTCGCCGCCTCCTTCATCGCCTCCCACTTTGCCCTCGCTCTCGTCAGTACATCCTCCGCACACCCCGCCCCTCCTCATGCCACGTGACCACTCGTGCAGGCACCTCCACTCTCCCCCCTCCCCTCCCTCTAGAGCCACCTTCCTCCAACTCCACCTCCTCCCCATGCTCTTGTCGCGCACTGTCCCACCCCGCTGTTCTCATCCACCACCGCCTTGGTCATATGAACTTTCCCACACTTTGTAAAGCCGTCTCCTCCCGCTTGCTTGACGGTCTTCCCCCCACTCTTCCTCCCCTCCCGTCCTCTTCCGCTCCCCCATGCGCCACATGCATTCATGGAAAGCTCAAACAACAGCCTCACCTCAGTCATCCTTCCTTTGCTGCTGCCCCCCTTGACCTCGTCCACATGGACCTCTGGGGCCCTAACCCTTCCCCTTCCCGCCAAGGGCACCGGTACATGCTTGTCCTAGTCGACGACCTTGTCCTTGTTTAGGCGGTGGATACGCTATGTGGAGAGGGAGTCAGGGGCCAAGGTGAAGGTGTTAAGGTCAGATCGGGGTGGAGAGTACCTTGGGAAAGAACTTAAAACCTTCTTGGAAGAAAAGGGTATTATCCACCAGCTCTCTGTACCTTACACGCCGCAGCAAAATGGGGCAGCGGAGTGGCTTAACAGGACCTTGACCGATTTGGCTCGGGCCATCCTTTCCCATGCCGAGCTTGATAACACTTGGTGGGGGGCAGCAGTGCAGTATGCCAACTGGGTGAAGAATAGGATGGGCAGCAAGGGGCTTGGAGGCAAGAGCCCATACTCCTTATGGACAGGGAAGGTGCCGAATGTTTCCATGGCACGAGTGTGGGGGTGCATGGCACAGTATAAGGTACCTGACCAGCAAAGGAGGAAGCTAGATCCTAAGGCACAGTGGGGGATCTTCCTTGGGGTTTTTGAGAGGAGCAAGGCTTGGGTGCTGTGGAGTGTAGCTGACCAGCGTGTGATGGAGAGCCGTGATGTGGTTTTCCATGAGGGGCTGAATTTTAAGGGGTCGAAGGAGCATGGTACAAGCCAAAGTGGGACTTCCATTCAAGACCCTCATACGGCTTCTATCTTTGAGGGGGCATGGGAGGACCCTGGAGATGAAGGGGAGGAGCAGCAGGAGGAGCCAGAACCAGCTGATCCTAACCATGAGGAGTCCCGAGAGACAGATTCTACCCCTCAGCCAGCCACGCAGGCCGATGCGCGTGATGATCAGCCGGAGCAGCATGTGCCTTCAACTCCATCGAGAAGCAGTTGGCAGCAGTTGTTGAACCAGCAGCTGTCCAAGACTCCAAGGACTCCAATGAAGAGGGTGACTTGGGAGGAGAAGCTGCGGAGGCTGGAAGAAGGAGAGGCAACACCTCTGCGACGCAGTGCTCGAATTTCCCAGCCACCTGAAAGGTTTTCACCGGGGCACATTGCACGCATGCATGATCATCTTGTGTCTGATTTGGATGATTGCATGCTTGTGGACATGCATGGGCATGAGTATGCTCTTGATGTGTGTCTAATGGGTCAGGTGCATGAGCCTAGGTCAGTCCATGAGCCGCTGAACCGTCCCGTATGGGTTGAGTCTATGCATGAGGAGCTTGAGTCTCACAAGGTAAATGGATTATTTGAGCTGGTTGATCCAGCCGTGGTACCACCTGGTTTGGAGGTCCTCAGGTGTCAATGGGTTTGGAAATACAAGCATAACCCTGATGGTACCATTGAGAGGCCTAAGTCCAGATTGGTGGTGATGGGAAACATGCAGAAATTGGGAGTACACTATGAAGAAGTGTACTCTCCAGTTGGGAAGCATGCGACCTTGAGAGGTATGCTTGGAATTTCAGCTGCTTTGGGGCTTGATATCCATCATATGGATGTCAAGACAGCCTTCGTCCATGGGGATTTGGAGGAAAGGCTTTACATGCGGCAACCCCCTGGTTTTGATGATGGGTCTCACCGAGTGTGTCACCTCAAAAAGTCCATTTATGGGCTAAAGCAAGCCCCACGACAGTGGTACCTAAAATTTGATGAGGCTCTCATGGATTTTGGGTTTGAGAGATCTGAGTGTGACCCTGCCTTGTACCACTTTGTGAGAGATGAGGAGCGGATCTCCTTATTCCTCTATGTGGATGACCTTTTGCTCCTATGCTCTAGCAAGGCTTTGCTAGATCGAGTGAAAGACTTCTTGTCCTCGCGTTTTCGCATGAAGGACTTGGGGGAGGTGAAGTACTACTTGGGAATGCAAATTGAGCGTGATGAGAGTGGTATCTTGATTCATCAAGAGAGGTACATTCTTAACATGCTTCAGTCCTTTGGTCTCTCAGAGGCCAACCCCGTGCGTACTCCTCTCCCAACAGGCTTTGATGTGCATGCCTATGAGGATGAACCCTTGCTGCGAGATGAGCTGGTCAAGCTCTACCAAAGCATTGTGGGATCCCTCATGTATGCTTGTACTACCACACAGCCACAGATTGCCTTTGCAGTCTCACAGCTATCTAAGGTCGCCTCTTGTCCTAAAATGTTTCACTTGCACGCCGCTAAGAGAGTGCTGAGGTACCTGAAAGGTGGTGTCAAGTCAGGTATCTTCTTCCAAACACAGCCCCAGTCTCAGGTGCAGCTAGTTGGCTTCAGTGATGCTGACTATGCTGGAGATTCCGCAAGTCGCAGGAGCCACAGTGGGTATGTGTTCTGTCTGAATGGGGCAGCTATCTCTTGGCAGAGCAAGAGGCAGCCCGTGGTAGCACTCTCTACCACTGAGAGTGAGTATATAAGTCTGTGTCAGTGCATTCAGGAGGGTGTGTGGCTGAGGCGTTTGTTTGGGGAGTTTGGTCATGATCATGCTGGTGGTGTGCCTGTGTTTGTGGATAATCAGTCTGCCATTGCCCTTGCACAGAATGCATGCTTGCATGGCCGCACCAAACACATGCAGGTCCGGTGGCATTTCATTCGGGAGATGGTAGCTGCGGGTGAGGTTATTTTGCAGTGGTGCCCCACCAACCGTCAGGCTGCTGATATTCTTACCAAGACTCTTCCATTTGAGCGTCATGGTGTGTGCATGACCTTGCTCGGGATGCAGCCCCATGATGACAGAGTTCCCGCAGCAGATGCCGGCGTCTTGGTGCTCCTCTCCTTGGCGGACTCCATGCTCTGGGTGGCCCCAACCCATGGGCAAGGGGGAGTGGTGTGAAGTCTTTTGCCCTATGATGTTGAGCCACACCCAGCACGAGCAAAGGGGAGTGATAAATGTGTAGTGTTCTGTGGTGTAGTTTGCTCTAGCTGGTTGTGGGCTATTGGGATTTGGGCAAAAGATGTGGGTTGGTTGGCTAGGTTTGATCTCGTTACCTTTCCAACCCATACAACCCCAAACCCGCTACAACATCTTTGATGTTGCAGATGTGGCACTTGGGAGTGTTACGGTTTGGTCCAGGGCGAGGGTTGGTGGTGTTCGACAATCTCATTCTCGAACTTTTCCAGATCTAACTGCTGCCCCTCTCGTTTTGACTAGGTCATTCATGGCTGCCTAGCCAAATTACCAGAATATCTCCTCACACTGATTTCGTCATAATAGGCGGCTCAGATCTTGGTTATGAACGTGCTTTACCATTCTGGAAAGTAGAGATTAAGACCTTTCCAACGCGTATAAGCTCATTTCTAGAAGTTACCTGAGCTGTACGCAATGTTCCGTTGAGGTCGTCAGACTTAATCTCAAATTAATTCTCTCCAGATTTGCACGATTTCCATCAGTGGTATCAGAGCCACGGTTAGAGGACGTTCTTTCCTCCATTGGAAGAGATCTAGAGAGGCTTGAAGTGCTCCAGATCTAGGGTTTGACATGGCCCAAAAGTTGGATGGCCCTCCTAGGTTTACCGGCTCGGACTTTTCGCTATGGAGGTTCCAGTTCACACTATGGCTAGGTATTAAGGACCTAGAAAGTGTGTTGGATGGATCGGAGAAGCGACCACGAGCTGACTCTGGGGAGGCGTCTACTGGAGCAACCAGCCAAGTGGGATACGGGGCTGGGGGAGCGTCGTTGAGTGGGGTGAAGGAAGGAGGAACTGCTGCAACTCGAACCGGAAGGTCGCAACCAAGTAGCGAGGAGTTGCTCAAAGCTCAAGAAGCATGGGATCGGAAGGATTGCCAGGCTTTTCAGTACCTGTGTTGGGCTTTGGAGGGGCAACTTGAGCTTCTTAAGATGCTGATTGACCTGAAGGGGAAGGAAGGTGCAGCGGCTGCAGCTTGGAAAAGAGTACAAGATAGGCACTTGCAGAAAGGGCTTCTAAGCGTGCTTACTTGGCGGAAGCGGTTTTACACCATGGAGCGGAACTATGGGGAGGGGGAGACCATGGTTCAGTATCTCCAGAGGGTGGATGAGAATGTGCGGGCTTTGGAGGAGCTGGATTACACGGTAGATGAGAAGGAGATCATCTATACTGCGCTCCAAGGGTTGGATCAAGCGGCTAATGAGGCATTACTACAGTACCTTCACCTCGAGCAACAGAAATGGACCAAGGTGTGGAATTGGGAGGTTCTAATTTCTGATGAGGCTCGCAAGGTTGATGCTGGAAGAGGTCTAGAAGGAGGCATGGGTGCAGCAGATAAAGCTTCCTTTATGGAGAGAGGGAGGGAGGGAGAGAGGGAGGGATGGAGAGAGGGAGAGAATGAGAGAGGGAGAGAGGGAGGGAGGGAGAGAGGGAGAGAGGGAGAGAGAGAGAGAGAGAGAGGGAGAGAGAGAGAGAGAGAGAGAGAGAGAGAGAGAGAGAGAGAGAGAGAGAGAGAGAGAGAGAGAGAGAGAGAGAGAGAGAGATAGTTTGTGATGAGCATATGTCAGACTACAACGACCTACTGAGTCTTGGAGCACTTTACATGAGGTTACACCCGATATGGTGAAGCTGGATGTTAAACACAAATGTGTGTAACACACTTTCAAGTCTGAAACTTTGAGGTCTTGCTGTAGTAGACTCATGAGTGCCATTGCCCACATATTCCCGAACTGGAGAAGACCTGAAGGCCACGGCCATGAAAGTATTGAGATTTGGCATTCAGTGACAAGAAGGGGCAGCGACGGGACGGGACGGGCAGAGGGGAGCGGTGAGAGTGTATGACATAAAGGAAGGGAGCAGCTGATTCACTGCAGAGATAGGATAGGGAAGCCTTGTACACAAGCCCTAGCAGAGCAAGCAAGGTCCTCGGAAGCGAGTAGAGAGAGGATGGGGGTTTTACAGGAAGAGGGAGTGGGACGGAATCAAAGAGATCAGGTAAAGCATCACTTGTAGCTCATCTCTTAGTTGCCAATTCTAGTCCCAATCACCGTCTGTTAAACCCAAAAGCTTGTGCGTGCAAGCAACATCCAACATGGTACACGTTCAGTAGGAGGAGAGAGGGGCTGACCAGCGATGAATGAGAAGTTGTGGGGCCAGCCTTAGAAGCCCAACACGTCCGTGAGCGAATTTTGAGTGGACTAGAGATTCATGAGCATGGAGAGAGGGAGAAAGGGGCTGACCAGCGAAGGAGAGGAACTCGTTGGCTGCGGTCTTGGATGCCCCGCTCATCTTTGAGCTGCGGTATTTGAGTGCATCCAGCCCTTCTACCATCTGCGCATGCACATGTGGGATGCGTACGGGATTCAATGAGATGTAGGAAGGGAAGAAGGAAGAGGGGATGGGGAAGGATGGATGGAGGGAAGAAGGGAGGAAGGGAGGGACGGCTGTGAAAGAAGCGGCGGCGCGCTCACAGGAGCATTAGTGCCGTGGAAAAAAGCCTTGTGTCTCTGCTCGGTACAAAACTCGCCGTGTCATCCGCCTACCATCCACAGACAGAGGTACAGGCAGAATGCCCTAAGGAAGTTGTAGAGCACCTACTACGCGCAGCATGTAAGGACAATATTTCCAAGTGGGACTTCCACCTGCCAGTTTTGGAGTTTGCTTACAACAACGCCACCCACACCGCCACAGGGGCAGACATCATTCTTTCTCTATTATGAACGCAATCCACTCAGACCATAGAAACCAACGGTTCTCACCATAGTTCAACCAGCTCTTGAGTTAATTACCAATGTGCGACCTCTAGGATTGGACCCACAAGCCCCTCTCGGATAATCAGCAACAATAGAAGCAACAGGCCGATCAACATCGCAATGATCATACCATCGCCGTGGGAGATCGTGTCCTACTCAACACCCACAACCACGACATCAGCCATCTCCCATCCAAGCTTTGACCTCGCTTTTGCGGGCATTTCCTCATTGAAGCACATGTCATCCATGTTATGTTTTTGCGTTTGCTTGTCAGCCACTTGGAAGATTCACAATGCCTTCCATGTCCAGCTTTTGAAACCCTACTGGGATCCGAACATTATCTTCACCGTATGCGAACCACCATCGCCGCCGCTGGCCACTCTCATGAACAATGAGCCCAAATACGAGGTCGAGTCGGTGCTTGCACACCGCCGCCATCAGTATGGCACCCTGGAGCTTCTCATCCATTGGAAGGGTTAAGATCCTTGTGAAGATACCTGGGTCTCTGTATCTGCCATGGGTAATGCTGATGTCCTCTTTGCGACTACGTCTCTACCACCTAGTTTTGAGGGGGGTAAGTGTAAGAGTAAGACCCTATTACACTTCTTTCTCATTTCTACATTTCCTATACTGTATATCATGATCCTTTTTACCACGTCTCATCTGGTGTCCTTTTCTTATCACGCTTCCGCAGCGTCCTCTTGCCCCTCCCGCCACTTACGCACCGACGTGGCGGCCATGTCGTGCTGCCACGGCGGCCTTTATGCGCTGCCGTGGCAGCCCCGACGCGTTGTCATGGCGTCGACACCACGCTGTGGCGGTGTTGTCGTGCTGCCGTGGCGGCGTCGACGCACCAGCGCACGGGCGGCAGCAAGGTCGCGCACTATTGTAGGCACCAGCCATGACACCTGCACGCCAGCCAGTGCGCCAGTCACGGGCACCTTGCTGAAGCACACCCCCCCCCCTGCGTCTCCCCTTACTCCAGCTGCAGCTGCTGACTCTATACCCGGTCGTTGCCGGGTCGTGCCACGCCGCCGGGTGCCGCGTGCTTCGCAGTCGCCGCCGCCGCCGCTGTCGTTGTCGAAGAAGCTGCCGCTAACGCTGTTGCTGCCACCCGCCGCCGTTGTCGCCGCTTCCTACGAAGGGTAAAAGCCACCCCTGCTGCAAGACATGGGGGTGCACGGGCTTGGGGGTGTTGCGTGTTGGGTGGGTTTGCGACTACCAAGCCTAGGGGGTGTATCAAATTTTATATTTTATATACATAATTGAGTAGACTTGGTAGGTGTGTTACAATTACTGGATCCTACTGTAGAGGGTACAACCTCCCTTCTTGTACCCCTCTCTCTTCTAGTTCATCCCTCTTTCCTCTCGCAACTTTTCTCTCTAGCTAAACCTCTCGACATTTCTCATGGCTACCTAGCGCCTAAACTCTGTTCAACATAGGACTAGGGCGGAAGCGCGGGTGGGCAGGGAGGACCTAACCTAGCGTGTAATACCATCTCAGAGTAGAAAAGTTGACTAGAATGTGTGATTCAAGGTAGTTTTGTCTAAGGGGTTGCGCTCTATATAAGACAGCACATATCTAGCCTATAACAAATACAAAATATATGTTGACAGAAATAACCCTGACAAATCAGGGTTCGAGCTCTATGCATGCCTCTGGATAGGATTAGAAGTACTCTTTCTTGTAAGGGTACTCGCTTGCTGCCACTTTTTCTGTAAGGGCATATTTTTAAGCTACTTTGTAATGTAAGGGTTCTAAATATTTGTACTTTTTCACATAAGGGTCTAACTCTAGTGAAGCCTTACACTTTACTGTAGTTACACGATCTTGCATGATCAGACAATTGACATGTTGCAGATCTGATGTGACGACATGCCTTGTCCTTCACTCGACAGGGTGCACCCGGATTTTTGCTTGTTAGCGCTGAAGTGGAGGGAATAACGCACCTCGGTAATTTTGCAGTTATAATTTCTGTGGACACGGGTTAGGACTTATTTCTACTTCAGCGCGTTGAGTACCAGGGAACCAAACTTCATGAACTACCAAATTGAACCGAACATGAATTTGCGTTTTGACCCTTGGACCTCACTATTTCGCGTTTCAGACTCCATTTCGGGTTTGCTGGAACCGAACACTGTCGATTAGGAAAACGCCCTTATTCCCTGGACCCTTCTCGGTCGCGACCTGAGTTCCCGTTGTGAGTGATTTATGTGGCACTTGTGATTTCGTCAATATAGTGAGCTGTAGGGTAACTTTAGGAGCAGCCCGGAGGCTTGGTTAAAAAAGTGTGCGATGCGCTGACTACCAAAACGCGAACAGTGTTTGGGCTGCCTAAACAATTCATCGTTGCCCGACATGCGAGTTAAAGTGTCCCAAACACAATCCTTTTCAGAGTTAGGGCTGATGCCACCCTGAGTGGTCGTGCCCCTCTAGGTTGTTTTTTTCTTTCATTTCTTTAACTAATGTAGTGGCGGATACGACACTACCGACACGAAATAAACATTCAAGGCGGCAGGTTTTGTAACAGTGCGCATGAATTTTCGGGTGAGTGGCAGCCATAAAAAAGCGTAAACCATTAACGGAAGAAACGGACAGCGGGAATCCCTATCGTGCGTGGGCAGGGGCCAGGTAAAAACTTGTGAAAACAGAAATTCCAGTCGCCGATATTTCATAGGCGCGACATTCCCTCGCCGAAGTGGGTAGGGGGGAAGAGAAGGCGTGACATGTCACGTCGGGGGCTTTCTTTTTCTTTCAGGCTACCCTGTTATTTTGAGGTAGTTATTCCCCCAAGTCTGACTGGAACACACTTGGCAATTGGGGGACAAAGCCGAATCCTCCGGGTTGCGTTGCGAGGTGTATGGGAGGACTATCTCTGTTAGTGGGGGTCTTAGCCGAATCCTCTGGGTTGCGAGGGGTACTACAGGAGCTTTGTCTCTGCCAGTGGGGGACTTCCATTTTTTGGGGTTGCTCGAGGGCTGTGGGAGGAATGTCTTTGGCAGTGGGGGACTTAGCCGAATATTTGGTTTGCGAGGGGTATAGGAGGAATGACTCTCAGATTGGGGAGACTTTGCTAAAATTTATAGGTTGCCAAGAGGAGAAATTATTATGGGGGGGATTGCATCTATGATTGTGTAAGGGTGGATTTACACAAACACTTTTCCGTATCACGGTCCCTACACTCAACCACTCTGAAAAAACAGGGTCCCATATGGATCTAGTTTTTTTCATAAGGGTAAAAAACTAAACCACTTTTTAAAATAAGGGTCCAGCTGTTAGAATACTATAATGAGTAGAAGCATGAGGCAGCGCAAGCAATACGCTGCTCAAGGTGGCACTACTCGTCCCACCTCTGAGTCAGGGGTCCAAAGACCAGTCAGCAAGAATCTTATAAAGAGGAGTACGCAATCAAGGTCCTAGCAAGTGAGAGTCTACAGGAACTAGACCAAGCTGCAAACAGTGTCGCTGATGATCTTTAGCTGCAAGATCCATAGTAAACATATCACCTGTGTTCACACCGGAGGCCAAGTGTACACCGCCGGCGTGGCGGCGCTGCTGTAGCTCGCGCAGGAGGAAGTACCGCAGCTGGATGTGCTTCGCACTGCCCTCAAGTCGAGGCTCCTGACAAAGGAGGATCATGGCTCTGTTATCAACGTACAGAACCAGGGCAGAGCTAGGTCACTCACCTAAGTCGGCGAGCAAGAAGGTCAGCTCCTATGTCGCCATGGCACCAGCGTTGATCTCAGCCTCACAGCTAGAATGGGCAACAGACAAGGAGCGAGCGGACCTCCACGAGATGGCACCTGAAACAAGGCTACAGCAGTAGCCC